GCTGTAGGGGTCAAGCAAGTTTTGGGGTGCGGGGGGTGCGGGGGTCTTGGGGAGCTCTGGGAGGGGGGTACGGGGGTCAGGCTGGTTACGGGGGATTTGGGGGTCCCTGGAGGAGCCCGTGGTAAGTCAGTCTGGTCGTGGGGTGCGGCGTCATAGGAGGACTTGGGGTGGTCTTGGGGCTCATAGGGGGGCTGGTCGTGGGGTTGAGGGCTTGCAGCGGGACACGGGGTGCTGTGGGGTGTGGGGTCCGCAGTGGGGTCAGGCTGGGTGTGGGGTGGTGACCTGGGGCTGGGGCGGCCAGGGGCACCCGTAGAGGTCAAGCTGGGTATGAGGTGCTTTAGGGGGCTCAGAGTTTTGTGGGGGGTCAGGCTGGGTGTGGGGGACCCGCAGTGAGTGAGGTGTGGGGCGGGGGGGTTGTGGGGAAATTAGGCGTGTCCAGGGGCTGGGGGAGGCCGGGGAGGCACCTGCAGTGCTGTTGGGAAACGTACGGGGCAGGAGGGAAGTGGGGTAGGGGTGTCCCCAATGGGGTCAGGCTGGGTGTGGGGGGAATGGGGTGCACTGGGGCTGTCCCAGGGACTCTGAGTGGGGCTGACGGGGAGGATGTGGGGTGGCAGGGCTGAGGGGGCAGCAGCGGGGCCCACAGTGGGCTCACGCTCAGGAGGCAACTGTGGCCCTGTCCCACGGTGGGTGCCAACCCCAGGACTGGGGGGTTTCCCCCCATGGTGTTGTTCCCACCGGAGCAGTGGGGGGGACGGGCGGGTGCAGACCCGGGGAGTGAGGTGCCCCCTGCTCCCCCCGTGTCCCGCCCTGGGAGGTGGCAGCTCCCGCTCTGGCACCCGGGTCCGGCTCTTGGTCCTGGTTTGGTGCTGCTGGGACTGTGCCCAGGGTGCAGCAGCTCCACCTGAGCTTCGAGAGAGCTCTGTCCCCTCTCCCCCAGACCCATCTGTGCCCACCGAGACGGTTTCCAAAGCCGACCTGGGAGTGCCAGGGCCCTCTCCTGCTGTCCATCCCTGTCCCGGGGGCTTCTCCTGCCGTCGGTCCCTGTCCTGGCTCACCCGGGCAGTGCTAAAATCTTCCCATCGACTCCCCTGCGGTCCGGGGGGGGGAGGGGGGCAGAGGGTGATGTCGCCACGTCCCCTCCTCGACGGGGACATTTTGCGGTGATGTTACAACCCAGAGGCGTGTGTGGCGTCCCCGGCGGTTCCTGCAATCCCTCTTTCCCTTCCCGAATTTCTCCCTCCTGGCAGCTGTGGTTGGTGGGTGGGACGAGGGGCTGGTGTAAACCTGGTTTGAACCCGATGGCAGGTCGCTGCCATGTGCTGTGCCGGTGGCTTTTGCCTTCCCCGGTGCCCGGCGGGGTCCAAGAGGCCGGCGGGGTGGCAGGGGGACAGCGGGGGACAGCGACAGTCTTTAGGGCTATCTTTAGGGCTGTGTTGCAATGGAGGGGTGTGCCTTGGCTCGGCGCTGCCGGCAGCCGCCTCCTCGCCCGGGGATTGATTTACGCCGAGGCTCCCGCTCGGGGAAAACCAGCGTTTGCTCCGCGGTTTGTGCGAGCGGGGCGACCGCGGTGGGAATGTGGGGCTGAGCCGAGCTCACGTCGGCGACACAAGGTTCGGGGAGCACCATCGGCCCCGGGCACTGTCGCACCTCACACATGCTCTGTCACCGGCCCGGCAGCGGGACCGGCCGAGCCGGAGCGAACGGCCAGGATGGGGAAGGCGGACGGTGCGGGGAATCTCTGCTCCTCATGGGAGAGGAGCCGCCCTGGGGCGCGGGAGCAAGCTGGGTTCTTACGAGGTGCACCTCAGAACTTCCCCGTCTCCCTGCTCCTCCCTTCCCAAGGCTCTAAGGCAGGCACGGATGTGGCTCTGGGAGAGCCGGGGTCACTCCCCTCCGCGTCCTCTTCGTGCCGGAGTAACCCGGTCAGTCCGCGAGAGTAACCGGCGCCTGCACCAGAGTTGAGGTGACACGGGACCCAAGTTCCGTGTTTGGCTTAATCCTCCTTAATGCCACTGCCCTGCTCATGCCCGCTGTGCCCGTGGTGATGCAGCTGCACCGTGTCTATCCCTGAGAGGAGGCAGCCGAAACTCGTGAAGCAGTTTGCATCCCCCCAGCTGCGGGGCCCGTGTAGATGTGAATCTTCCCCAGCTCTTGGCGCTGGCAGCCCCTCAGCTTCTCTCCCGCAGTGAGGCACACGCCGCTTCTGCCTGTGGTGATGGTAGCGGCGAGTCAGCGGCAGCCAAAAGTTGATCCGTGCACCGAACCTCTTCCCACGGTGGTGCTCAGCCCGTTCTGCGGGCGCGGGGCTCCCCCGTCCCTTCACTTGGCTTTCCCTCGCTCTTAAGAGAAACTTCAGGCCTTCCCGAGAGGGTTTGGAACGTGCTGAGGAGAGAAAGTGCCTTCTCATCCGCGGC